TACATTGATATTTTTATAATATAATTCCAATATTTATGAAAATTTTAGTCAGTTCTTGCTCGACGAAAAACTGAACGTGTACGATTAACACATTGACTACTATGGTGGTCACCGGTAACGGGCACTTCAATCGTAAGTGTTTTTAAAACGCTTAGAATAAATGAACCTTCATACTTATAGATTTTTTAATAATGTCATTTCCATTACAAATACTACAAAACAACAAATTACACACTAAATATTTTTACGTCTAGTATAGAGTAAAAGATATTTATTTTTTAGTTGAAATTCATTGATATATTTTCAGTGTAATTGAATAATGAATTTTTAATAATAAACATTCGACCTAACACGTAAAAATGTCACGTACTCAAGTTAAGTCATGGCGGTCACTGGTGACCGGCGCTTCAATACCACATTTTTAAAACACTTACAATAAATGAATACTTATATATTTATTAATAATATCATTTCCATTAGGAATACTACAAAATAACAAGTACTCCATCGAACTATTGAATATTTCTATTTGTTATAATTTGAAAAACTACCGAGACTATTTTTAAACACAGAAAACTGGTATAGCAGTCAACATGTTAATAAAGAGTCTACTATATTTGCACTTAAACTGTTATAAATACTGCTAATTTCACATTGCACCGATTAATAATGCTAGACTAGTTTTCGTTCACGTTGAATCGAAAGTGTTTACGCACAGGAGGTTCCCTTACAATTCTATGTATATTAATACAAAAAAGCACTTTGAAAAATGAAATTCTACGTAAAACTCAAACGAACGACAAGTGAATAGCAGTTTGGTGGCTCGATGTTACGAGCAACGGCGCGAACTAGAGTCAAGCTGACTGCAAACTAAATGGGAATCATTTACTACGTAGGAATTTGTGCTTTGTACCTGTACACAGCCCGTGCACCTGAACCGTGTTTTCAGTACCTAAGGAGCCCAGAAGGCATTCGTTTATTGCTTTTAGCCGTCGATCACGGTAGGATAGCGAAGATAAATGCTAGAGGCAATAAAATATTTTCAAATTGGAAATTGTAAATGGCGGTCATGAAAAAGTGGAACCCAGATAGATTAGATTTTTAATATGCAAATGTACCTAATAGTTAACCAGTAACTTTTGCTACATTACTGTAACTCGTTTTAAGAGTGGATCACGTAACCCGCTCTGAGAACAGATCCCGTAACCTGCTAAGAGCGGATTATCCGTGTCCAGATGGCTTTGGGTTAGCCGGTTAGGCGGGTTACGCTATGTCATTTGGATTTCTGGACAGGCTGCAAGTGTTCTAGTAGTCCCAGAAACTTGGCAAGAATGGGGACCGTTGGGCATGTACCTCGATAAAAGAATCTTCTGTTTATATACAGACGATATCGACTCGAATTCGAATTTTGTTCGTATAAATGGACCTTTAACCGGAGAGAAGAGGCGAAAAGAGAGGATAAAAGGATCCCCGGGGCGGAGTATGCGAGCGAATGCGTGTGTCGCGAGAGGGACGCGTCTCCAGAGGGGGTCGGAGAGAGGTAATGAGACGACCGGACGAAGGATGAAGAAAGAAAACCGAGGGAGGAATTACCGAGGAACGGAATCGTGGTTTTCTGTGTACGCAACGAATACCTATGTACGTGCACGCGCGCGACGAGGTGTGCACCTCCGATCTTGTGTTTTATATTGAATGATCAAAGGTAAACCGGTTGTGCTCGCGAAGGAGAGAAGCAGAATCGTCGACGGGTTGGAAAGAGATGAGGTATCGGACGGGGAGAGAGAAACCGGTGAGGAGGAGGAGTACGAGGCGAGAGAGGCAAGTAACAAAATGATCTAGGCGCGGCAAACAACAAACTGTACGCTCACGTACACCGGCCACCGTCGAACACACACGCGAGCCCCTCGTTCTCGGGCTGAAACGTGTCTTGTTTATATCCATGATGTCGTTATGGCAGTCTCTCGGGTGTTACCGACGAGTATCGCGCCAGGATACGAAGATTACAAGCTGGACACGCGCCGTTCTTCGACGGTCGCGCGCTACAGGCGTTGGATGAATCGAATATTCGAACCTAACCGAGACTTCGGTTCCCGAACTGAACCGAGCGCCCGATAAACGCGAGCGGCTCGGGAGGACGTAGCTCGATTTACGATTCAATTTGCGATCGGTCGGACGTGATTGGACAGTTTCTTGCACGTCTAAAAGACGATGGAACTAGAAGCGAACGATTCAGAAATTAACGAAGCGATACATAGAGAATAGAGTTTTTGTCACCATAATTTATATCGAAAGAGACTTGTTAACCTTACTTGAATTATACGATTCAAACTTTTCAGCTAATTATTTCAACGATTAATTGCACCACACTGTAATTAAGAATGTAAATAAGATATCTTCGGTGAATAGTAGAAATTTTCTTAAGAAGTTTGTTTCTATGCATTTTAAAAAAATTCCTCCAATAATAGGAACATTCGTCCCAACTTGTGGGTCGCGGCGATGTTTGTTGAGATTCGTTGGAAGTCCGATGATCGGTGGATCTTGACGCTTTCCTGGCACTTGGGTACAACCGAAAACACGTGTTCACCAGGAACATTAGCTTCAGATCTCCACGGTTGGTTGATTCTTCGGCGCGTTATCCCGATGAGATTTAATCGGCCAAGGCTACCACGTTCCCAGGACAGAAACAATCCGCTAGGACGGTCCGTGGATGGCAACGAAAATCATGAATGATCTAAAGCTCGTCGGTTTGGGCCCGGGTTAACAGGTGTATCTTATCCGAAGGATCGAATCGAGGTAATCTTTCCTCGCGACGATTCCCATCTGAGATTCGGTGGCAGAATTGGATTCAGGGGTGTCTTTATCTCACCATCTGGGTCTCCGCTCGTTCATGCTGTCCTCTCTCCTTTCTACCGACGTCGTCTTGCTGTCTGCCTTCGTCTCGTTCTCGGACCGAATCCCACGCACGCAGATCTCGTATAGGAAGACAAGACGACGCCAGAGCTCGGCCTCTCGGCGATGATGTATTCGTGCCCCGGCTAGGAAAGACCTCGAGCGACGCACGAAAACTTTGACATGAAAATAATGTCGCCATACATTCGCGATAAATGTCTATTGTTTCTTCCGATTCGAGTCGAATCCACAAGCACGGCTAATTTTAGAATACAATACCTCGAAAATGTATCGCGTTTGTAAAAATTTTACAGGCTGTTGTATCTGTATCTAGAATAAGCCAATTTTTACAAAAATAGGTACACGGATTTGGAAAACCCCTGATCCCGAATTTTTCAAGTTTAACAAATATTAAAGCTTTCGAAACGTTTAATTCAGCGTTATCGGCGATGTTCTGAACCGACGGATACGCCAGATATTCGATATTTCTATTTTCCAGAAATATTTGAGAAAATTTCGAGGATAGTAAACGAGTCGATCGACGGTTGTTCCTTCTCTTCCCTATTTAAATACGCGCTAACGCTCGTTGCGCAAGTACTCCAAAAATAGCGGGCAAATATCGTTCGTCTGTTTGTACCTTTGTTATCGTCGGTTCGCGAAATTCGCGCGACGGCAATTAGGAAATAATCGACGCCGTTCCGACGTTTCGAACTGCAACGGAGAAAAGAGATGGACCGGAAAGGGAACCGAAGTCTTGGTACCAATCCATCGCTAGCCGATCGGTCGCATACACTCGAAGACGCCGTGTGCGAGCGAGGAACGCTTTTCAGCATGGGAGGGAGAACGTGGAACAGGTGTACGGCTCGAGAAAGCATATACCTATACGTCCGCGGAGGCTGGCTTCTCGGAGCCAGGTGTACGAGGAACGCCCGGAATTTACCGCGTCGAACTCCTGACCCCGAAGCGTTTATTAGTCACGATCTATTGCTCAATACAAACCGTGTCCCGTCCGCGTCGCTTGAACACCTCCACTGGAAACTAACCAAAACACTATTTCTCCAAGCAAATTCGACCCCAGGAATGAAGAGTACTCGAATACAGTCGATAAGACTGTGTGCGAAAAAGTGGTAGTGTTAGTTTTATTTTATTTAGTCGGTTATCGTTATTTATTTTAACGATGGTCGTCGATGAGGTGACCGAATGAAATTAGTATTGAAACGTGAAAAATAAAATGAATTCGAAGACACGAAACTGTCTTCAAGCCACCTCGATAGGCACACGCGTTTCACGTTTATTCTAATCTTTACGCGAACGAAAAATGTGTGCCATCTCCCGCGCTCGCCAACAGAGGGACACGCTCGACTTCCACCTTTCTCGCAAGTTCTCGAGTAGCCTCTGAATCCTACGAATAAGCTTCTTAACTGATCGTTGAATGTGTTTGAGGCGATGTTTGAGGCAGGGACTGCTGGGTTGCCTTGTCGATGGAGTTCACTAAAAGGGCCAGGACGAAACCCTTTATTCTCCTTCTCTTTGTTACCACGATCCAGAACGAAACACTCTACTCTCCATTTGTTTACTATCACCACCCAGACCGAAACCCTCTACTCTCTTTCCCTTTATTTAAAAGGACCAAGACAAAACCCTTTATTTTCCATCCCTTTGCTATCATCACCCAGAACGAAACTCTCTAATCTCTTTCCCTTTACTAGTGAGGCCAAAACGAAACCCCTCCATCTTCCTTCCTTTAATTGAAAGGGCCAGGAGGAAAGCCTGTACTTTCCATCCCTCTACTATCACCACCCAGAACGAATCCCTCTACTCTCTGTCCCTTTACTAGTAAAGTAAAGCCGAAACGAAAGCCCTCCATCCTCCTTCCTTTTGCTAAAAGAGCCAGGAGAAACCTTGTGCTCTGGTTTCCTTTACTAGCAAGCCAAGGACGAAATCCTTTACCCTCCTTCCCGAATGGAACGAATTACAACAATGTTAATTCTGATCTGAACAATTTGCAACAATGTAAAATATAAATTATCCCCTCACGTTAAATGAGACTCTACGCGGTTCCGAGTAACTGCACATTTAAAGCGGGAACACTGTAATAAGTTTTGACTCACCGGAACGATCCGCAGGATGTACCGAGAGATACAATCCCTTGTTTCCCTCGGGATTGTTCACCCAATGGGCGAGGGGCTCGCTAACATTTAAAGTCAACCACCCCTCTTTCCCCGTTGTCGTGTTAACGGCATCTACGTACTGCAACTCCCTCGTTCTACAACATAGAAACACAATTCTAAGCATACGCCTGATTCACGCGAGAATCTATTCGAAGATACAGTGATAACTCAGTGGATAGTTATCGAAGTGATCGGTATAACAATTATAAAAATCGAGGAGCCCGGTACAAGTGCCAGGAATCTCTTGGAATCTGCGCGATTTCAACAATTAAAGTACACTAAGTACTTGCAAAGGTTCGGAAATATAATATTCAATAATATTCAACATTTCCAAGGAGGATGTCGGATCCTCATCGATCTTACCAATATTTTACAAACTTATAGATTGATACGACAACCATAACCGGAGTTATAGCCGTAGGTGGACAGTTAGTTACGAAAATAATAAGTGTGAAATTTGGAAAAATCTCTTAGCCAGGTATAATCTAGTCGATTATAAATGTTACTCAGTTTTAATTTCGTTACTTAATCGCTTAAAGGCGACGGTTCTGGGTTAGAGTGCGTTGTAGTTAAAGGGTTAAGAAGAACCGTCCGATAAAAATAAACGAAGAGGGGGCTTTTGAAAGGAGGGTTTTGTCTCTGTAACTGGAATCGTTTCACAGTTTTGAATCGCACAGCACGTCGATAAAATCGATCGATAGGAAACCACTGAATCCTTACGTAATCGCTTCTAACCGAGATATAACAACACGAGAGGAGAGGACTGCGCGACTATTTGCCGCGATTCCATAGATTGTAGCGTCGTGACTCGACGATTCGTGCAAATCCATCCAGCACGTGACTCGCGCGTCAATAAGATTTCAGTCAAACACACTAATCATTGTTCATTGAGGAGATATGCTCACCTCTGATCCCCACGAACGAAGACACTTCTTAAACGACGCATTTATCTTTTTCCCGGGATTGATTACCGTTCTCGTAATTGAATAATTGAAAACGTTCAAATGTTAAACAGAAGAGATGAATCTCCGATGTTCCAGCACGCACAGTTCCCCGGCTGGAAATTGTGCGCACTATTTGCTAATGAATATGCATATTTCTTCTTTTTTTTTTCTTTTCGCTTACAGTCTTCCTATCTGAATCGTTTGATTTATTTGCTTCCACGCGAACGGCTCGGAGCCAGAGTCGCGAGGAATCACGATTCGATTACTCCGGGAATTGTAATTACATTTTGATTTAAATCGTAACTTTATATTTACAATTACATTTTGTAATTATAATTCTCGGAGTAATTCAGTTACAATTTTTAATTCAGATTCTGTAGTAATTTAATTGCAATTCTTAATTCACATATTGACGGATCGACGAAATATTATTATAATTCCTGGAGGAATTCAATTTTATTTACTAATAAATAAATAATTCGTACGATTTATAGAACTCCAAGTACACCATTTTCCTACATTTTGAAACATTTCGATTCGAGAATGATTTTCTTCCCGCAGAACCGATTAACAATTTTGTACGATTAATAGGAACTATATGTACGATCAAATAATCTCGCATACGAATTAGCGAAACAAGAATTCATGAAGCAGCGGCAGTCGCATGGTTGACAGTCGAGTTTCAGCTAATATGCATTTCAATTTCAAAACACAGCTGTTACATCGTAATACGCGGAACAATAGTGATTAAATGTTAGCAGTTTCTTAAACGCATATCTCCGTTCAATTTGTTCGGTCAATTAACGACTCGAAGAATATCAATAAGCCGTCGAGTGTGTGTTAACATAACTAAACAGGATAGTGCGAAACGAGTCTCTGCTGAATAAGCAATAACACATACCGCAAAGTAAAAAAAAAATAATCGTCGTTAATTTAATTACATCTTCGGCACGTCGAACGTTACGCTACATCGTATTGTATCCATAATTGCGTTTCAACATCATTATGCTCGCTGGAAAAGTAAAACTTGATCGATCGTTTTATAGTCAACAATAAGTTTCAATAACTTTATCGTCGACGGTCGAAATTTATCGAAGTAATTGAATATTCGTGATTGAAACATAAATACCGTCTTCCGTGACGACGATTTCGGTTCAAGCGAGGTACGAAACAGAGCACAACCAAGGATTTGAGGAATCTAAATATGTAGACATTACGAGACCTCAAAAGACCGTGTATGGTAACTTTTATGCGTCTAAATTGGTGTAAATTAATTAGTTTTGCAATGTAAATTTATTTGACATTTTTGGAATGTTTCTTCCTCTTTTAAGAAGTGTAGATTTTTTAACCCACCTAGGACGTTTTCTTCAATTTTTGTGAAACAATATAAGTTATGTGTAATTTACTACAATGTAAGTATTGGGGCTTTTGATCGAAGGATTCGAGGTCGATCTAGGAAAAGTAGTGTAATGTAATCGGTGCTTAGGGAATAATGTGTGTCTAGCGCGCTGAACGACCGTCTAATAAACGCGACCGAGAAGAAAAATTCATGAATCCCTAATTGGGTCTAAAAGCACGAGACCCTGAGGCTCGTTACGGCAAATGTCACTGTCTGACTTTCGTCAGAGAGGAATCTCGAGGGCCAGAGACAGCTGACCCGCTGGTGAATCCCCTACCAACGGGAACTCTTATGGAAACCTGCGCGCACACGTAAGAAACCAGAGCCGCCAGCTTGTCTCGGCTGGACCAGAAGGTGGAGGAGGATAAAGAGGTGGAGGAGAATGCGTCACGCATCAAGTTTGACGGAAGAAGCTCGAAGAAGAAGAGGAGGAGAAGGAGGAACAGGAGGAGGAGGTGGAGGACGAAAAAGAGAAGGAGAAGAAGGAAGAGGAGGTGGAGTTGATGCGTGCGTGTAACTGCGTAGGCACGGCAAGTAACTCGTGCTCTTAACTCCTTGCTCAGAGCCCGTCTCCACGGCTAATTTACCTCAATTTACGGAATAGCGTTTCCTGTCGGGGCCTGTATATCGGTCAGGTCGCGGTGCCAAAGTCTACGGAGGTATCCGTAGACAGGGATGGCTCTAGACAAGCTGTCGCCATCCGCCACATCCTCCTCGTCCCGGCACGCCGGGACACGAAACGACCACTCATAGAACGCAAAACTGCAAACGAACCGTCCAAATCGGGGGAAAGGCTAACTAATTTTCTCAAGTGTCGGAGATTGGGTTGTCGACATTCGTAAATCGACGAGGATCAAATTTGCAACTTCGAACGGAACGAAAATTTTGTCGGTTCAGGGAATTTTCGAAATTTTAAATATATTATATTATAAATTATATATATATATACAACACCAATAATTTAGAGAAATTTGAAACTATCGACACTAGGATGAACATTTTTGTTAGCTTTCCTAAACCACTTAATAACTGAAAATAAGAAGTGGAGCTCGAACAACAATCTTAAGATTTATTATATATATATTTATTCGTTTGTTAATACTAACTTATATTTGATCCATTTTAATCCTACAACTCAATAATAGCTATACTGAACCTATCCAGGCGCATTTCTTCAGTCGAATTCATTAGTATTAAAGATATGACGTTGAATTCAAGTCTCAATTGTGTTCAACTCTTTCACTCACCCAATTTCCTAATAAAATTTGAAAGATATTTTTGACAACACAGATGGCTAGAGACATCTTTGCAAACTTCCAAACTAATTTTAGCTCTTTCAAAAGACTATCTGAACCTTCCAATAAATTTCTTTCACTTACCCAATTCCCTAATAAAATTTGAATGATATTTTTAGCAACACAGATGACTAGAGACATCTTTGCAAACTTCGAAACCTTGACAGAAATACTTTATTGACGCGATAACGAGATCCAAAACTCTAACAATTTCCCTAAGAAATGGAATTAGCGAATTCCAGAGCTCTGTTAAGAATTATTTAGTCTCGATGGCACTAGACTCGAGCGTAGAATCTAAAATGAGTCTTCAAGTTGTTTACATAGAAGACAAATAGAGGGATCCACGTCTTTGGAAGCTTCCAAAATTCTCTAACAATATCTTTCTAATTAAGTACACTATAATAGTACGTTTATAACAATTTTATTATTATTTACTTTAAATCCCCTTTAATTTCCCCATCGTATAACTCAAAAATGTATTCTTGGTTTTCATTTGGATGGAACCCGGAGTCTGATCGAGAACGTTTTGCCAGTATTCGTGGACGGCCCTGGCAATGAATGAGAAAGGTAGAATCGAAAAGAAATGGTTAGTCCCCGAAGCTCTCACAGGTAGAACAAATACCTGAGATTTTTTCGGCGACTTAAGGACGGCCTAATTAGGGGCACGATGACGATGTCAAAAACCACGGATTCTGCCCGAAGGAACACTGAAATTGGTCTAGCCACCCACCCGGGAAGCAAACCTCGTCGAAAAGAGACAAAGATGGAGAGGAAGAGTACCGTTTTTCCTCTTCGGTCATCTTCTCCAACGGAGCGGCAGTTAAAGGTCACCTCGAAACTATCGGCCACCCCTACTCACTCCGAAATGGCAGCTCGAGCTCGCTGCAGGTAAAACTAATACCTGAAGAACTTTTCCGGGAACCAGGACCCTCTAATTGCTGACACGACAATGACATTAAGGAGTAGAATCGTTGCAAACTTGCCGAGAGAGAGAAAACACGCGATTCTGCCACCTATGAACACTACGAAACGATCAAATTTAACTTTGAAATTATTCCTTTTTTTATTTCGGAGTCAAGCTTATACGTTAATAGCTTAATTCTACCATAGATATTTCAATTTTAACATTTCGTATTCGATTAATAAGAGTTCTGATATTTTTTAACGAATATTTTAGAATATAAGAAGCATTATGCGGAGAATTGAAAACAAGATGAATATAAATGAGTAAGCGAATTTTTATTAAGTGTACATATGAATAATCCAATTTTTTCAGCCATATTCAATGTTTATTTTAAAAGAAAGTAAATTGAATTGTTCAATCAAAGTATTCACCGTTACTTTCTATAACTTTAAGCCATCTTTCAGGCAGCTGATGAATTCCATCTCGGAAAAATTTTACGTTTTTGGACCCGATAAAGTCGTCAAGCTATTTTCGGATCTTATCCACTGATTGAAAGTGCATATCGGATAAGGTGTGTTGCATCGACCGGAACAGGTGATAATCAGATGGAGCAATGTCTGGTGAATACGCCGGGTGCTGCAAGACGTCCCAGCCAAGACTCATTATGGTGTCTTTTGTATGGGAAACAATATGTGGCCTGGCGTTGTCATGCAACAATTTCACTGGACGTTCTCCTTTGCCAGTATACAGACGTTTTCGTTCCAATGCTTGACTCAAGCAGATTAATTGATGTTTTTAGCAGTCCGCAGTAACTGTTTCACCCAGTTCTAACAACTCCTAATAAACCACGCCCTTGATATCCCACTTAATGCAGAGAGGAACCTTCTTTCCGAAGCGATTGGGTTTTGCAACCGATGTTGATGCTTCGCCGGGATTTACCCATGACTTTCTGCGTTTCGGATTGTCATAGAGTATCCATTTCTCATCACCTGTAACGATTTTCCATAAGAAAGACTTTTGACAGTGCTTATTGAGAAGAGAAAGACACGCTGCCACTCGTTGATTTTTGTTGGTTGCAGTGAGTTCATGCGGAACCCATTTTCCTTCTTTCTGGATCTTTCCCATCTCACGTAGGCGTTTGGAAATCGTTTGCTAGGTTACTCCTAACTGTTCTGCAAGTTCTTTTTGCGTTTATACTGCATTCTCAGCGAGCAGTTGTTCCAAATCATCGTTGTCGCACTTCCGAGGGCCTCCAGGGCGTTGTTTGTCGATTAGACTGAAATCACCGCTTTTAAACCGCTTAAAACAAAATGCGCACACATCATACGATACAATACCTTCACCGAGAAAGGAACAAATCAATTCGCATGCTCTTGCAGCATTTTTCCCTTGTTGGAATTCGTAAAGAATGCAGTGTCGGATATGCACCTTATCTGTTGTCATTTTCGACTCTACTGAATTGAATACTTTTGAAAGTTATGTTGGGCCTTTCGCTAAACTATCTTTTGTTTTAACTAGCTATATGTCAACACTATATGACCGCAAAAGAGCGGGAAAATCTATTAACTTTAAACTTGATTTTATAACTGATGAAGATAATTTGGTTTATTCATTTGTACACCTAATATGTGTATAAACGTGAATTACGTTTTCGAATTTCGAATGAATAAAATCGTCGCAATCTTGGACAATGTGTAACTATCTTGAAAGTGACTATGTTTGAGAGGATTCAGTGGCCCCCATTTTCATTTTTCTTGGCCCAAAGAATACGAAAATGTTGTTCAAACGCATATAAGTAAACCTTGTAAATTTGACCGTGAACGATGTTGTAGTCTCTATGGAACAAAATTCTGAGAGAATATTTGAAAGGACGCGTTTCATGCAACACTCTCTAATTAATGGCGGCGGAAGCGAATGAATTCTGTTTGGACACTCACCCGTCTTCGGTTCTCAGGACTCGGTAGGCCGTGATCATGTACGATCCACGGTTTCTTCGATTCTTCACGTCCATGCTACGATAGAGCCTAAGCTCCGCACCGATTATGTGTTCTCCAGGTGGTACCTCGGAGACGTCGAACCAGAGCCTCTTGCCGCGCTCGTGCCTCACCCCAGGAACATGATGATCTACGGATCGAGAAAAATCGTCTCGTTAACCGGGCAAAAACGATACATAACGTGGCTTCGCAACGAACAAAGTCAGGTAAATTTTATTCTCGTATAACGTATGAAAATGTTATATGCTCGGTAAAAAAATTTGACTCTGACGACGGCATTTAGGCTCATTCGTTAGGAGTAAATCATCGGCTACTCGTTATCGTCGTTCGACGGCAAAAGACACACAACTTTTGTAAACGTTCGTTCATTTCCATGGCTCTCATCAAGCGTTTTAAAAAGGAAACTTTTTCTTTTTTTTATCGGGACCGATGCTCCTCTGTGATAACGCGTTAAGAGGGCTGTAAGTGCGAGCCGTTGGAGGAGGAACAAATAAATCGTCCTGTTACGCGTATGGGACTGTCCTGTACCGACGATAGCAACTCCTGCTGCCATTCGAAGAAGTAAAAGTATTGAATACTAAATAAACTTGTCAATTCCAAGGACAATTGTGAGGTAAATGTACCGATAACTGTATAGAACAAATAATATTATTAAAATTTCATGAATCTCGCACGTATAATGTTCCAATATTTGAGCATTGAGACAAATATTAATTATCATTAAGATATCGTGTGAGGTAAGATTTTGACTAATTTACATTATTTTGAGTGTACCTTCATTTTTTATTAACAATGTTGAGAATGCTTGTAACTAGTGTAGAACGATTAATCGTAATTATATAATTGTGTATACTTTCCATAATAAAAATATTAGAAAACTTTGAAACTCTTTATAATTTAATGGTCATTCGATCAATCATTAGGAATTGATTCTTCTTTTCTTAGGAAATTGTAGAGGCAAATAGTGCGATAAATTATTTTTTAATTGTTCTCAAAGTATGTAATCTAATGGTTCCGGTCGATTAATTTTTATATTCCAACGTTAAGTTGAACGACGCAATTATTTGCAATTGCCTCGTCGAAGTGTAATTATCGTAACGTTTCGAGTAAATCGCCACTACACGTTATCTCTATCCGAAGACGAAGAATAGACATTTCGAATGTATACAGCCGGTCGAAGAAGTATCTTTATAAACTGAGTAACCTATTCATTTAGGATAAATTTCAGACCAACGACCCAAACTTTCCTCTTCTAATTGTCTACCTAGATGTTGCCTGAATTCCTCGACAACCGTTTCTCTTTCGAGCTATCGATCCCGAGTTCGATGGAAATACCGATCTTCTTCTGACTACAACGCTTTCTACCGCCACATTCTGGGTCCATTTCGACCCTAAACTAAATTTTAATCCCTTGCCATACGATGACGAGTCTGACTCGTCACAAGTTCTTGATGTCAAGTTTCACAATCATGAGGCTACTAACTCGTCATCAAGTTTTATGTATTAAAATCAACACATTTTTACATTCACGAGGCATTCGTAAAACATATCTATTCCTTTCCGTGGCCATTCTTCGTACAAACAAAACAAAATGAAATAGTATACGTTTGAAAAGTTAATTGGTATTAAATCGTACATCAAAGGGTTAATAAAAGGGTTTCGATCGTGTCGACAAGCTATAAAATTATTTATCAATAACTCAGTTTGGTAAACGACCGTTGCATAATGCGAAAAAGCGACGATTCTGGATTAAAGTAAGCCGCCAGTCAAAGGGTTAAATACCGCTCGACGAAAAGAACTACGTATCCGGGACAAGTTAACCCGTTGCATTCGTATTTATATTCAATAATCAATCAACTTGGAATTTTTGTTCATATGCGATTAAAATGAAAACATTTTTATGGTAACATATTACAATTTAACTTGTCGGTTTAGTAGAAAAAATTAGAAAAATACACTTTAACCTATATTTCACCCCCTCTTGAACAGTGAAAATCTGTATAATATGTGCATATACATTTTAAGTTTTCAAAATATTTAAGAAATAAATAAAACTAATTTCTAAATTAGAAGGAACACATAGGGCACACAGGAATGCTAATAGTTAAAATAATGCTGTACATCAAATATGAGGCTTCGGTATATTTTCTATTACCAGCCTTTATGAGTGTATGAAATATAGTTCCCAATATTCCCCTTGAAAACACAATCTTGTATTACAATTTTTTATTTATTTTTAATGATTTTTTTTATAAACGAGTGACCTCGGGAACAAAACCAATTAGCCAGGACAAAACAGGAAAAATCTTTTATCTCTCATTTATTTATTTTATGTACAGAGTCTCCTGTGACTTCAGAGCTCGACAATTTCATTTCCCAAATCCTTATTTTTCATCGCGTCATGAAACTTTGGCATTTAATTTCTGAATAGTATTACTTTCGAGAAAGAAAAATTAAAAAAACATCGATTTTCTGACTGCCTGGTCAAAGAAAACTTTGTAACAAAGATCCCTAGAATGAACTACTAACGTAAATACGCGTATAATAATAAAATGTAGGATGCCGACTATACAGGGTGTTCGGCCACACCTGGGAAAAATTTTAATGGGAGAATCTAGAGGCCAAAATAAGACGAAACTGAAGGATACTAATTTGTTGATTGTGACTTCGTTAAAAAGTTATAGAAACATTTCCGGTCACACAGTATATTTTCGGTAAAGAATTTTTTTCTTGAAAGTGTGTACGACTTTGAGAGTATATCTATTCACCAAAAATGATTGCAGTTAACCCCCGCAACTGAAAATAATTTTTTTAGAATGACTTCAAAATTTTTTTTTTCGCCCAAAAGTTTAGACACTCTCGAAAGTTTTAGGGGAATGTGTATTGAGCAGAAATGATTGTAATTGACTCCCGGAACCGAAAATATTTTTTTCAGAATGATTTGGAACTTTTTATTTCCGCCGAAAAATTTCAGCACCTACCCCTGTCGATTTTTCTTAAAAATCCGTATTTGATTTTTAGTAATTTTTTTTGATGCCCTACAGAAAAGTTGACTAGTATTTTCTTGTAGGTATTCATGAGCACTACTTCAGAAAAAAATTTCATTAAAATATATTCACTATTGTAGGAGTTATGGCTGTTTGAAAATTGGACCATTTTTATGGCGTTTTTGTCACTTTATGGGGTCATGGAACAACTTTTTTAATATTGTTAAAATTTCTACACATTCTTCACTGAAGTACGCGTTATTTGCATTTTTAAACATTCAAATCCCTCAATCCGTTCAGAAGTTATGATGTTTTAAAGATACGCATAAAATTTTGGAGTGACATTTCTGGCCAGAAATTATATTTTCGGTAAGGAATGTATTTTTCGAAAATGGTTAGGATTTCGAGGGTATGTCTATTCACCAAAAATGATTATAATTGAGCCCCGCAACCAAAAATAATTTTTTTGTGAATGATTTGAAATTTTTTAATTTAATTTTGGAATAACTTTTTAACAAAATCTCAGTCAAGAAATTGATATTTTTAATTTTTGTCTTTTTTCCAGGGGTAGCCGAATGCCCTGTATAACGACATACGAGCGCAACGGTAAAACGTATAATGTCGCCTGTACGACGACATACGAGTTGAAAGGGTTAATATTTTCGAGAGTGTTTAAAAAAAGGATAATGGCCTCTTGTTAGCGTCGTAGAAGCGCTCACAGAGAAGGTAATTCCATCGCTCAGGGCGAACTGCCAGCAAATCAATTTTCCCCCGAGACAATGAAGCATGCTCGTTTCAGTATCTTAATCCTCGTTCGAAACTCATCCACCGTTAGGGAGGATCGCCGGTAGGTGGAGTGGCCGTAGCCGACACCGATAACCAGCTATCCTCGTTCCGGCACGAGATCGATAAGGGAATCGTTACCCTCGTAAATGAGAGGCCCCCAGAACGAGCCGTGGACAATTCGCAGCGTGAAATCGTCCTTTTTTCTGCCGCCAAAGCGAGCGCCTTGGCGAGCAAAGGGAAGCAGCAGTAGGTACCCTTCCTCCACGGTGAACCGTGGGCCCTTAAGTAATGCCTAATGCTTCTCCCGAGGAGGCCGACTCCGACTTCGGGGGTGGGGGGCTAGAATGAGGAGTAAAGCGAACGAGAGCCCGAAAGGAGGGACGGGTGGGGACGGAGGGCATAAAAATTTGTTTTGTTTTTCTCTCGGACGGTCGCATTCCAACGGCACCTGATTGCCGCGAGCCGAGCTGGACCCCTCGGCTCTCGGGGTGGTCCCGAATAGCTTGGGACCATCCTGGACCGCTCCACGACCGACTGGACTTTTGTTTTTTACCCCACCAACCTTCTACTTCTCTACGTCCTCGGTCCTCCTCCGACAGTCCTCTCTTATACACCTACAAACCTCTCCTCTCCTCCGCGCAACGTGCACGCGAGAACACGGAAAGAGAAACAGAGAAAGAGACCGTTTCTCGATCCTCTTTTCTCTTAAAACGCCCTGCTCGTTCTTGCGATATTTTCCTGGAAATATCCCTAAGCTGTTCCTCTCGGCCGTAGAACCGCCGATCGACGATCAGTCGATCCCCCGGCTCTCTCTCTCTCTCTCACACACACACTCACTCACTCACTCACTCTCTCTCTCTCTCACTCTCTCACTTTCTCTCTCTCTTCGACGACTTTCGACCGTGACTCCGGCCCCGGATTATTAGTTCTAAGTAAAACAACGGCCAGATGCCCCCTTTCGGATCATCCGAACACGTCCAGCGTGGGAATTCCTCTCATTGTGTTCCCTTAATGATCCATCTCCATCCCCGACACCGTGTCTCCATCGATCATCGATCGTACGAGACTTTAATTGACTACGCGTTCGGTCTCACCTATCCGATTTTAACGGGCGGCTTTATATTCGATTAATCGGGACCTGATCGATAACAACCGATAACAGCCTAAGCATCTTTAATTGCTTGGTTGACAAGACATTTCGAACATATATTGCTCTCCTGTACAGAATACCTCACGAATCCAGGCAAGGCTTCCAAATTGACTAAAAGAAGCTTTCAATAATACCGAGAATGCGAAAAATATCCTCAAATTCATCTATTTAATCGCCGATAAATAATAATCTATGTCACTAACGACC